TCTCTGTGTGTTGGGGTGCACACGTATATGTAGTTGTACCTGATGTGTGTGCCTATATATGTAGAGATCAGAGGACTACCTGGGCATCATTCTCTAGGAGCTTTCTATGCACCTTACCTTCCTTCCTACCATCTTTCTTTCCTTCCTTCCTCCCTTTCTCCTCCTCCTCTGCCTCCTCTTTTTCTCCTGCTCTTAGTCGGGAGTCTGTCATTGTTGTGGATCTCCCCTAGTAGCCTGGGTTAGGCAGCCAGTGAACCCCAGGGAGCTACCTATCTCCACCTGCCCGGTGCTGGGACTACAAGTGTGTGCCATCATGCCTAGATTTTTAGGCGTGGTTTCTGTGGATTGAACAAAGGTCCTCATTAGCACTGGCTGGGCATCTGTCCTCTTAGCTAAGGTGAACCCCTTACTACATTTTGAGCCAACCTCTGCTCCCTTTTATATTCGGGGAACAGAACAAATAGGGGAACTCCTCCACCCTGTGTCCTCGCATCCCTCCATGGACCACCAAGGCCCAAGCCCACCATCTCTTTCAGCTAAGTGCCTCTTCAGCATCTGCACTATGATTTTGCTATGCCCCTGCCTCAGCTTCCTGGTCCTTGTGATCTTCTGTGAAGGAAATCAGACAAGACACAGAGTGCCACGTTGAAGATGGAGACTGGCGTTGCCTAGTAGAGGAAAGTGTACACTCAGGGTGAGCACAGGCGCTGGGCCATTGTGCTGATTTGTATTTTAGGTGGACTTAAAAATCTCTGTAATAAAGCAGCTTTTCTGAGAGCTGTTTCACTTCCAAGTGATTGGCAAGTCAGACTCTTTCAGGAGGAGTGTAGATCCTTGTTCTTGATCAGAAAATGTCCTGATATACAGTGAAATCATAAGGTTTTGGGCTTCTAGAGCCACATTTAGATAGCCACCTGTTAGGGACCTTCTGGTCAGTCAGGAGGTCACTACTTCTCCCTGGTTGAGAGGAAGGACTAGGGTCCCATAATTTGGATCAGCAATTAAAGCCCTGCTGTGAGTTTCATAGACGGGTAACTACTGGGGCGAGGAGGCATAGCCGAAATGTCTTCCAAGCCTGTTAGTGTCTAGTAAGCTACCTAAGCTCTCCATAAGATGCTTAGCAAGTGAGGCACTCCATAAGATGCTTAGCAAGTGTGAGGGGAACCAGCCACAGGCCCACAGTATCCTAGCTGTTGTAAGACAACATCCCAGGCATGGCATGAGAGATACAGACTTGGTCCAGTAGCTATGGCTGCAGAAACAGAACAATGTAAGATAGCCCAGTTTATACTCCAATAAAAGAACTATTGACATTTCCTTGTAGATGGAAGGGGGGAAGGTCACCAGCTACTGTTCCTCGTTGGTCCTCTGTCAATTGCAAGTGATTTGGGAGAGATGCCTGGGCATACAGGAAGTAGGTGACTAATTGAAGAGGCTGTTCTGCAGTACAGCTGCCATGCGTTCACCACTCACAGTGGGTTAAGACTGTCCAATGATGCAGCTCATGCTCTCTGAAAAAGCTCCGTGACCTCACTGGCCTCACTGCTTTGGCCTCTGGTGAAATTGTGCTTGTGTCTGTCATTGATGCTTATCTGGGATGAGCAGATGTGTGTGTCTTCCTAGGAAACGTTAGCACAATACTAAAGAATTGTGCTTACAGCCTAGCTAGAAGCCAAGGCCTGCAGACAGTAGGACGAGGCTAGTGAGGAAGGTTAGTGAGAAGTCCCCGGGAGAACAGATGGCTGCTGGAGTGGAAGTGAGCCTGAACCTTTTCCACATTGGCTTTGGGGTCATACTGAAGAATGGAGGGCAGCCTCAAAGTTCAGCATGAAACACAAGCCACACTCCATCAGCCAGAAATATGGAGGAGTGCTTGAACACATCTAAAAACACCTGCCAGGTGGGTATTCTCTGGGCAGCCGTTTATGGGTCTGCATTTCAGTATCTTTGCCCTGAAACCAAAGAGACTGAAAATATATTAATATACCTAGCACAGTGATTCCAGGTCAGGAGGTTCCAGTTTGAACAAAGGAACAGGAAAATGGGAGAAGACAGGTTCAAAGCTGTTCACCACATGCTATTCAGAAGAGTGGGGCAGAGAAGGATCTTTTGACAGATGGCTATGTGCAACAACCACACACACACACACACACACACACACACACACACACACACACACACAGAGGGAGAGTAACAGAACGACCTTTAGTTACTTCTTGCTGACCTCTGTGGTAGTAACCAGAAAGCTGTTTTTATATAACCTTCGGGCTTGCCCAGTGAACCAAGAAACCTTCATTTGGCTTTCCTCCACTCATTTGGATCATTTCTTGCAGTTTTCCACGGGCAGAGACAGCTGCAGAGTGGTGATCTCTTGATTTCCTTGCCTGCATACACGGCCTCACCCATCCTCCCAAGAACCCTCGGGGGTCTCTTAGGAATCCCTTAGACACACTGAAGCCCTTTAAGAGGAAGGGACTTGCTGTGCCCATCGCTCTTCACAAAGCCACAATGAACTAGGGCACTCAAGTCCGAGCTCCAAACTCAATTTATGCTGAGGCAAGCACAACCGAGCTATCTCCTGAAATACTCGTGACCCAGGCCCTGTCTCTTCTCCAGTAGCAGCACTGGCTTCTCTGAGCTGGGAAATCTTCCTGTCAGAAATGAGGTCCTCCCAGCTGTGCCCCATCCCACACCCACAGCTTCTTCCTTTATTATTTTCCTCCTTTACATCTTCCTAATGCCTTTCTTTTTCTCCATGCAGTTCTATTTCTGCGCTGTTTTGTTCTGTTCCTGTCCTCGCTCTCCCATTCTCATCCTTTCATGGATGAGTTCCGCCTTACCCCTTACCTGAATTCAGGAGAATTCAGAGATTACCTCAGTCAGCTTCCCGATCTTTCCACTTCTAAAGATAGTATTCTATTTAGCCTCACTTTTAAAATTATTATGTTCATTATAATAATATTTTTACTAATTGTGACACCATGGGAAAGAGGTAAGCAAAGAGGAAGGCTTTCTGCAGCTGCTCGCTTCCTGCCACCTTCCCCTCTGTTCTTAACATTCTCTCAGTTTTTACTCCTCCCCATCTTCCTCTCCTTCCCTTCTTCTATCCTTGCTCTTGCTTGCCTCTATTTTGGGGAGTCAGCTTCCTTCTCTCCAGGGCCTGCTCACCCCTTACAACTTGGGCTGAACCCTAATGCCCCCTTTTCTCTCCAGCTTTCCAGAATCTTTACAGGGAAGGGCTTGTCTCCAAGGGTCTTTGTGGCATACCGGTCTGAGAGTGTCCTCCGGTGCACCTGGGGAAAACACCCTACAGGAGACCCACCTGGCTGTTTGCACCTCTGCAGGAACGCACCCATCTGGGCGGCCAGACAGGCAAGAGGCAGGGTCTTCCGTCCAGCTGTGTCCAGCTGAAGCAACGCTGGACCACAGAGACACATCCACATGCCACATGTGCCTCCCTGTGGGTAACTGGGACAGGTGCACGAAACAAGTGAGCCAGCAGCGAGAGCAGGAAGGAATTGAGGCGTGCTCCTTGCCCTTGGCTTTAACAGCTGGAGCAACAACTGGACCCCCAAGTTCACTCCCTCCACAGGGGAAGATACACGATGCACTCCTCTTCAGAGCCCAGAAAGCCTTCACCCAGCCTAACATTTCCCAGGAACTGAGAGCCCAAAGAACATCGAGCCTCTGCTGCGCCAGCTTTGTGAGTCTAAACCCACAAAGGGCCCAGAATGGTGACTCTACTATCTACCACGTGCCTTAGACATTCTGCTTTAATCTGGAGCTTCGGATTCTTGCTATGTCACATGTGTTGTGTGGTGGAGGAGGAGGGTGTGCGGGGCAGTCAAACAAGTGCTTCCAGGTACCAGGCGCCTGGACAGTCTTGAAACGTTGAGGAAAAATCTGTTGTGTGTGCACACACGCAGCGCGGATTGCTCTAGGTCCCTGGCTAAAGTGCGGGATCCTAGCTGGGTTCAGGGCTGGGTGGGCGCGATCCTCCCATCGCCACCCCCACCCTCAGCCCCCGGCCAACGCGATCGAGTTTTCCTCCGGCAGGCGGCAGCACGGGCTCGCCCGGGCCGCAGGGATCGCCCTGCGCAGGGGCTGCCGTGTCACTGCTTGGCAGATCGAGCCGCTCCTCTGTGTTCTCGGGGTCGGTGGCCCCGCTGGACTGCAGCTCCAGTCCGTTTACCGGGAGGCAACGCTGCCAGGCCGCGGATCCTCCGGCTGTAGATCCCGGCTGAAGCAGGCGCTGGCGTCCGGAGCTGCTGCAGCTCCGCAAGCAGCCGCTGGGGGCTGCAGAGCCGGTCAGCCCGGCGGGGACCGTGCGCCTGCTCTGCCTGCGAGTCCTGGGGCGCCTCGGGTCTCGGAGGCTGTCTGCACCGCTGGCCGCAGCTGCCTGCACAACCCGCCCAGACCCGTGCTTGCGATCAGTGCGTGTGTGTGTGTGTGTGTGTGTGTGTGTGTGTGTGTGTGTGTGTGTGTGTGTGTGTGTGTGTGTGTGTGAAAGAGGGAGAGAGAGAGAAGAGAGAGAGCTTGTGCGCGCACGCGTGGGGGGCAGTGTGCATGCGGCGAGTGCGGGGGAGTGTGTTTGTGTGTGTGCGTGTGGGTGTGAGTGCCTGGCTCCCTCTCTCTGACACACACACACACACACACACACACACACACACACACACACACACACGAGGACAGGCTCATCTGAACTTGAAGACATTCCAAGAGGCCGCAGGTACCTGGGATGCCAGGGTTTCTTCAATCAGGAAAATCCTACCCTCATCTTCCTAGAAGAAATTATCTTTTCTTTCCTTTTTTTCCCCCTTTATTTATTTTTTTTAATCTGGAAGAGAAGAGCACAAGTTGTACTCCCCCTCCCGCTCCTCCTTGCTAAATGCCATGGATATAACTGAATAAGCTGCTCAGGGCTTTCCCCGCGCGGATGGTCCGAGGCCACCATCTGCCTGCCTTCGCTGGATTGCTGCAGCTGGAGCGCTTAGCGTGAGCCTGTCTCGGGCCAGGAAGGATGCCTGGCCGAGCCAGAGAGCCCGGGCGCCCTGCGGAGCCGGCCTCGGAGCCTACCCGTCACGGGTAGATGCCGCCTTGCCCAGGTGAGTGGCCTTCCCTGCTGCGTCTTGGCGATGCTGGGTGTCCACGGGAGATGGGCGCAGGGATGTGCGCATCCGGGAGGGGGGAACAGGGGAACTTTGCCTCTTCTCCTGCCTCACTTGAGGACTTCCTCCATTCTGGGTACTCGTGTGGACACCTTCTCTTTTTCAGCCTTCCTCCTACTTGTGTTTTGATAGTGTGTTTTTGTGGCAAGGGGAAGACTGATGGGGAGGGAGGGAGGGAGGAGAGCGGGTCCCGGTGAGGCTCCAGTCTGGGTGAGGCTCGGAAGAGACCCTAGCCGCCCAGAAGGAAATCCTTGAATGCAGAACTTTGCCGCCAGACCACTCTGTTGCATCTTAGCACATTCCAGGCCTGGCTAGGACGTTGCTGGGGTCTGCATAAGATTCAGGGGTCGTCTAGGGCTTGGTGCCTGGCCGGGTGGGGTGGAGATAAACGGTGTGTGTGTGTGTGTGTGTGTGTGTGTGTGTGTGTGTGTGTGTGTG